TTCCTTCCTTCCTTCCTTCCTTCCTTCCTTCCTTCCTTCCTTCCTTCCTTCCTTCCTTCTTTTCCTTTTTCCTTCCTTTTTCTTTTTCTTTTTTTTTTTTTTTTTTAATTGATTCAGGTCACATTTCTGGGCTTTAATGAAGAAACAGATGCTGCTCATATACAGGTGTGGTCAATTTATTGAATTGGCAAAGACTGTGGGGGACTACTTAAAATTTTTGGAGACTGAAAATTTACTGTAGTGCTCAAAATTTACACTAATGTTGAGGTATCTTTGAAAGTTAAAAGATGCCATTTGAAATTAGGCATAATGGTGTCTGCTTTTATTCCAGCACTCAGGAGGCAAAGGCAGGCTGATGTTTGCATTCAAGGCCAGCCTGGTGCCAGGCTGCTCTGTACATTGTGCTCTAGGCCAAGCAGGCCTACATTGTTCCAGCTCCCACCGCCTGCCCCCACAACAAAGATGACATTTGAGATCAACTTTTGTACATTTTCACTTTCACCATTTTTACTAAGGATTCTTTTGTTGTTTTTGAGACAAGGTCTGATCACATGTCTTTGTTGTGACCTTCAACGTGTAGAAATTCTGCTGCCTCAGCTTCCCAAGTGCTGGGATAACAACTGTATGCGACCATGATTGGCTTTTGTTTATTCTTGCTATAGAAAACAGCTTTAGGTTTGGCTATTAAAATCATCTATCTTTAAGCCACAGGCCATTTTCTTGATTCTGTTCTTTATATTACATGTAACATTTATATATTTTTATGGCTTTTGTAATTTGACATTAGTAAATTTCTTGTATTTTTAGTGAAGTAGAATTGAGTATAAAAAATTAAATATGTAAAACGTCTCAGTTTTACACGTTTATAAATTTGTGTACAAATTTCTAGCCCATTTCATTTATGCATTCGTAGAGGAATTGGTATTTGAGGTTAGGGTCAATGAAGAAAAGCCTGACAATTGCAGAAATTACTGTAGATATAGTTTTTCTTTGTGCTGCTGCTGGAAAACTGGTGATTCTGCATTAGTTCCCTCTGGATAGTATGCCCGCAAACTCTGTAGTCTGTAGGGCTTGGACAGAGAAGGCATACTCTCCAGAAAAATGTCCAAATATATAGCTGGACTGCAAGGCTGATGCAGGAGCGTCACCATGACTTAGAGTCCAGACCAGCCTGAGCCACAGAGTGAGACTCTCTCAAAAACAAGACCACAATTCTTCTGGTCCTCAGGAGCTGTGGACATGACCACATTTACAGACCTCTGCTCTCTGCTCTCTGCAGGACAAACACTTGAGAGAATCTTAACCTGGAGAAAATAGTTACTAAAAACAAACAAAAAAAGGAAAGCATACAAAAAAGAAAGCTTCCCTTTAACCTTCATAAAATTCCTGAAGGCTTACTACAATACCTTCAGAAAAAGTGGACTTGTTGTTTAGAGTTAAAACTCAAGCTCTGAAGAAGAGTATTCAGTAACTAAGAATTCTGTATTAAAAACTTCAGAATCAAACCAGAGGACTTGTGTTGACAATTGCTAAAAACAATTGAATGCTAATTTTCATAGATGTGTGAGGTGCCCTGTTAGATTGATTAGGTAGCTCAATAGCAAAATGCTTAAAAGGCTATTATACTAAGTAACCCTGGTTTGCTTTATTTTTGAGTAAAAAATTTGACTATCTACAGATAAACTATATAGGTGAGCTGTTATGAAGCAGACAATTTCTTGGCCAGTACACTTCATGGGTTGTGGCTATGGACAACATTGTGGACACCTTGACAGTGTTACTGTGTAGTGTCACTCATTACTATTGCTGTTATTTAAAATTAGGATCTGGCTGCAGTTTCACTGGAACTTCCAGACCTTCTGAATTCACTTCATTTCTGCAGTCTAAGTGAAAATGAAATCATTTGTATGAAGGATATCAGTAAAACATCAGATGTAAGCAGTAGCCCTCTAAATCAGGTAACTGGTGGATCATTTCTAATCTCATTTTCAGGGCAGATTTTTACTATATTTGCTTAGTAATAGTAAACTTTCAAGTGATTGGAGCTTTTCTTGTTTTAATTCAGTCTCAAGAAAATTGTATTGATGAAAAGTCTGACTCAAAGCATTGCCAGCCTTGAAGCATAGAATAATTTTGATCATAGCTTATAAACTAAATTCCCACTTGTAAAGTTTTGTCCGTGGTTTGCAAGCACATAACTAATTTTTCAGTGACATGTTATACCATTGGGATTTTTTTGTACAGCTGGAGGGACTGCTCCTGCTTCACGGCCACCCCACAGTTGTATGTGTTGCAAGCTACATGTTCTAGAAAATGGACTTCCAGTTAACTTCTAGTTAAAGATTTTCCATGTAAAATGTTGTTTTCCTAAGATAGTCTTTAGATCAGTACTAAGTATTTTTGATAATGTATCAAAGAAAAATGCTTTGCATTTTAGGAAGTAAGATGTCTACAATTGTATGAGTAGGTTTACAGTTTGTTGAACTTATTCCAGCTATAAAGTACTGCTTTGTTCATTGTGAGGTGTAGGGATTAGAGCTGTTCCCTGCTTCCTTGATCATATTGTTCACTCATGTACACTTGCTGTATTTGCTGGTACATTAAGGTGATTAGCTGTTATATTTGCTTTCTTCTTTCAATGTTTGTATTTAAAAATACAGTGTGAATAGGGAAAACTAATGGCCTGTGTTCTTTTTTAATTAAATTTTTATTTTTTTATATTAATTATAGTTGATTTACTTTGTATCCCAGCTGTAGCCCCCTTCCTCCTTCATCTCCTCCCTGCCCCTCTCTAAGTCTACTGATAGGGGAGGTCCTCCTCCCCTTCCATCTGACCCTAGCTTATCAGGTCTCACCAGGAATGGCTGCAATGTCCTCCTCTGTGGCCTAGCTAGGCTGCTCCTCCCATGGGAAGTGCTTGTGTTCTTAATTAAAGCTGTAAGCATGATTGTAAGTTTTAATACCAGAGAAATAGAAGTTAAATGATAAGGACAGGTTTTTTGTTTTTTTTTTGTTTTTTTTTTTTTGTGATAGACGGGAAGGTGACATGCTGGGAGCTATAGGACAATGGAATAACAAGTAAATAGATTGTGGTGGCTTCCCTCAAGCATTCACAGCATAGTGGGTGAGATTGGTCAATGATTAAGACATATTACAAACATTTACAGTGATATAGAAAAAATAATTTCCCAAGAGACTAGCTTGGTGTAGTAGGTTCTATAACATTTAAGGAGATAGAGTGGGGAGAACTTGAATACATGAGAGAAAAAAGATTGGGAAGGAAAAAAAAATTAAAGTGAGATTTAAATATATATATATCTTTAGACAATTTCAGGAAATTAAATACTTAAAATCATTAAACATTACAGAATGAAGGAACCTTTTGGGATGCATGCATTGCTTGTTGTCGGCCCTCATTCCCAAGGCTTATTTCTAGGCTTCACTTCCAGATAATGTTTTATATTTAAAAGTAAAACTGATTTTTATCATCTTTTATCTCTCCCAAGAGTCATCATTCTGGAATGCTTTGTGTCATGAGAATGTCACCTACATTACCAGGACTCAGAATTGATTTTATCTTTAGTCTCCTGAGTAAATATGCTGCTGGCATAAGACACACCCTGGACACACACTTGAATCAGAAGCACCACCTTGAGACCACTGATGAAGATGATGATGATACAAACCAGTCTGTGTCTTCCATCGAGGATGACTTTGTCACTGCTTTTGAGCAGTTAGAGGAGGAAGAAAGTGCCAAGCTGTGTAATGATGGTGTGTGTGTGCCTTTTGTTGGACTTTTTTCCTAGAAATAGATTGAAGTTGAAAGTTTGGTTTTGAAGCTTTAGAGGAGACTTAATAGTTGAAACTTATTTTGAAATCTGATCCGGTTTAAACATTTTAATAGTTTTTCTTAGTACAGAGGAATTCATTTTCCTGTATATTTAAGGTCATTGTTAGCTACTTTTTAAATTTTCCTATTTCTCTTTGTAGGTAGTATTTGTTTAAGCCTTGTTTGTCATAATCTAGTATCTGGAACTTTGCTTTGTTCAAATGTCCAAACAGCTGGCAGTTATTACTAATCTTTCTAACATAAATAACAAGGAGCTGAGCTTTCCGTAGGTCATGTATCTGAAGACATAGAATAAAATGAGATTATTTTGTTAAAAGGTGCATACGTTCCCAAGTGTTATTTGGGATGAAATTTCTGTTAACTATCATAGTATAGGAAACAAAATTTATGATGTAAATATTTTGTGTTTAATGTCAGTGTTTTTTAAAGCAATTTTTTCTAGAATAATGTAAGAAATTTATTCTTTTCCTGTAGAAATAAATATTGCTACACTAAGGAGCTGGTGTGATGCTGCCTCTCAGACTACTTCAGGTCACCATTTAGGAACCCATGATTTTAAAGTGTTGGTTAATTATGGACCACAGAAGTCATTGGCTAAGCCCTCATCTTCAAGAAATGTTGTGGGACGCAGAGAAGCATCTTCTGTGAAAACATCAGTTACAACATCAGTTTCAGAGCCCTGGACCCAAAGGAGTCTCTACAGGTCGCCCAGTACTCCAGATAAAGGCAGAGGCACACAGGAGACATCCTTCCCTTCTTCTCCTGCCCACTCCTCGGAGTCTGAGTGCTCAAGCCCAAGTCCTGTGATTTTTTTGGATGAAGAGGGATATCAAAAATGTTTAAAAGCGAAACTTGAGCTGCCTGAAATTCCTGTGACACAGGATGATGTAGAGGATTCAGACTCAGAAGTGAGTGAGTTTTTTGATAGCTTTGATCAGTTTGACGAGCTAGAGCAGACTTTGGAGACTTCTTGTCCGTTTATGAGAGATCCTGTCATAGGGAAGTCCTCGCAGAAGGTAGGGCACAAACATGAAAAATCTTGTATGAATCCTCAGAAATTCAAGTTTGAGCGTCCAGCTCTTCCAGCTAATGTTAGAAAGCCAACTCCACGCAAACCCGAGTCTCCGTATGGTCACCTGTCTGATGCTCCAGATTCCCCTCGTCCAGTGATGGCCTCAGAAGACAGTGGGTTGTTTAGCCCTATTCGAGCCTCTGCTTTTAGTCCTCCTGGAAGCTGTACTCCCGCTGAATGCTTTTGTCAAACAGATATTGGTGGAGATAGGATTCATGAAAATCAGGATCCTATTTACTGCGCTTATGAAGATTATGCAAATAATCTTTCCTGTGAAGTACTAGGCTCAGTTCTTTATACCCAGTGTGCAAATGAAATGTCAGATATTAATAGTATTAAAAGAGGAGAAAATAATACTGTAGCTTTTAAGCATGGAGACTCTGATCAAAAAAATAAATGTAAAAAATCTTCAGTGATTACAGATAGCGTTCAAAAGTTTGCAGCAGATCTTGTGGGGAAAAGTTTTGGCAGTGCATTTAAAGACTTACAGAAAGGAGTTTCTTCATGTACCAATGCACTGTGCCAGTTAGCTGTCAAATTGACATCGTCTGTATTTCAGATGGCATTTAATGAACTTAGAAGGCAGTGTGCATTTTCACTGAAAGAACGAGCCATTGGTAGCCTGGCTGGTCTTTTGGTGAGTGAAGCCTTATCAAATGCCTTGAAAGATTTACAATACATGAAAAAGCAGATGTTTACAAACACAGTTGCTAGGTTTGCGGCGGACCTTGCAGAAGAGCTTGTTTTTGAAGGTATCATGGAAGTGTGTCAGTTTTCCTATCCTCCAACACCTGCATCTCCACAGTGTCAGTCATTTGACTTTGAAGACAAAGTCGTGAAGTCGTATGCCAAAGATTTATCTGAGTCTGTCATACAAGAAGCATTCATAGAGCTGTCACAGACTGATGTGACCTTCACAACAAAGGCAGCAGCTAATGTTTCTGTGGGTAATGTCAGCTACGTGAGCACAGAAAGTATAGTGCCACCTACACAGACCTTCACATGCTCATCATCTTTTAGCAGTCAAGCAATCACAATGACAAAACCAGTGCAGGAGCGTAACAAGGAATACACAGTGCAGCAGGCTTTGTTTTGTACTTCAGGAATTGTCACTTCAATACCTGTGCCCTTGGCAGGTAGTGCCCTTCTCCCGTATCATATTTCATCTACTTTGTATCAGCCCAAGTCTCACTTGTCGTCTGAGCATAGTAAATCAAATGATAATTCTACCCAAGAGCACATCACCACAGTGAGCAGTGAAGAGAAAATGGATTGTTCCAGAAATACCTGTCTACCTTCAGAACTCAATCCCCATAACCAGAATGACTTCAAACCAACCAATGGTGATATTGACATGCAGAGCCCTTCTAGTGGCCCTGTGATTATCGGCAACTTTTCTGCAGCAATGGTACATACATTAGTAAATGAAACCTTAGAGTCCATGACATCCTTCAACGGCACAAAAACTGTTGATACAAATGCTGATTATTTAACCAAAACAATAAAAGGAAAAGCCTGTCCCCTTTCCCTTTGTGACCAAGCAGCACCACAGCAGAGCAAAGCTAGTAGTAAGGACACGTTTGCTGAGCAGTTATCAAAGTCTATTATTAAACATTCCCTGGATAAAAGCAAATCAGTGCTTCCAAATATAGATAAAAAACCAGCTAGTAGGGGATGCATGCCTGTTCTTGGAGAAGAATCACAGTTGACCTTGGAGGAATCTCCCAAATCCCTTGACTTTCCAGATCATTCACCTCACTGCTCACTCTTGGCTGGAAGGTATTGTGTTCCAGAATATGGAGATTCTGTGGGTTTTGGATTTTCTTCAGAGACATTGCCACCATCTCTAATGATGACAAGTCAGAAATCTGACTTAAAGGAATCTGTGAAGGATAAGCCAGTGAAAAGGCATAATTTGAACAATACTGCACTCGAGTCCTTGTCTTTTGGACAGGAGAGCTCTTTACGTCACTCACATACTTTATCATCTGCAGTGCTTACCTGTGTAGATGGTTTGCATGTGGAAGATAAACAGAAGATCAGAGACAGAAATGGAATACCTGATACTCCTCCATCAACCCCTTTAGTGCCATCCCAGACTAGTTCTGAATGGGACATCAGAAAATTAACCAAAAAGCTCAAGGGGGAGTTAGCCAAAGAATTTGCACCTGCAACACCACCTTCTACACCTCACAACTCATCTGTTGGTAGTTTGTCTGAGAGTGGACAAAACACTATAGAAAAGGAAGAGTTCATGCTGAAACTTATGCGATCTCTTTCAGAAGAAGTTGAAAGCAGTGAGAGTGAAGAGCACCCAGAAATGAATGTGAAGTCAGAGTACTCAGGAAAGAAAATTCAGTTTGCAGAAGCGTTAGCTACACACATCATTTCTCTTGCAACTGAAGTGGCAGCCTCCCATTTAGATCATGAAATCACTCAGGATTTCAAGGTTCAAAACCCTCACTTAACTGTGCAGAGTCAAAGGAGTGTGCTGCCCGCCTCTTTAGGTCATTTGGATGAAAACATACAGATGTGCAGTTTTGCAAGTAATGTGGCAGCTGATGTCATTGCAGAAGCCGAGAAAATTGCCAAAGCTAGAAGTTGTGTGCATTTCAGGCGTGAGGGGAATGTTTGTCATGTCGAAGGTGTCCAAGGTAAAGCAGAAGAGAAGCTGGGTGTTGCATACCCAAGAGAAGTGGATCCATGTGTTCTTTCATTACCAAGTTGTATGCCAGGTCTGACATACAAGTATCCCAGTTGTGAAAGTGTGACTGATGAATATGCAGGTCATGTTATCCAAGTGTTAAAACAGGAAGGTGGCAATGGTGACTTAATCATGGATCAGTATGCCAGCAGACTGGCCTATCGGTCTGTCAAGTCAGGAGTGCAAGAAGCAGCTAAGACAGTTAAAATGAAGTGCAATTCAAAAATGTTCCCTGGGCACAATCCTCATGTGAAAATAAACAAGGAACTTTTGATGTTCTCAAATAAAGAGCATCACAAAGAAGTAGATAAAAAGAGACAAAGAAAAAGAAATGGTGGCCATCTTTGCAGATACCAAATGTATGAAAGGATACAGGATCCATGTAGAAATGAACTCTCTGAACTGTATAGTTTTTCAGCCTCTCTTGCTAGCAGCATAACAAGAGATGCGAAGAAACAGCTGACAGCACCTACAGTTGATTTGCGAAAATCCTCAACAGATTGTTGTCATTTTGAAAAATCTGGATGTGTTAACAAGAATGAGAATAGTATTGAACCAGAATTTTTGAAGTCTCGTCAATCTTTGAAAAACTATGGATTTTGCCAGAATACAGGCAACTTAAGGGGACATGATTGTAGAGAGAATGCTCAATCTATAGAACAGTATGCTAGAAAAGTAGTGGGGGACACTTTAGAGCCAAGTTTAGGACCTGCAGTTTTCCATGTTTCAGAGACTACAACATCAGCAGATAGGATTACTCATGCAGAAAAATTGTCACCTCTTATAAATGAAGCTTGCAGATACTGTGACCTTAAGGACCTTCATGGTTGCACCAGAAATCCTGCTCAGCCTCTTTCAAAACAGAGTCCGTGTGCTAGTACTAAGCCAGCTTCACATTCAAAACTTAGTAGCATCCATCAGAAATCAAGAATTTTTCATCTTGATGTGCCTCAAATTCATGTTAATCTTGATAAAAGGGCAGTGCTTGCAGAGAAGATAGTTGCAGAAGCTATTGAAAAAGCAGAGAGAGAGTTGAGCAATGCCAGTTTGGCAATTGATAGTGGAATTGGACAAGATGGCATTAGCTTTGCTGAGAGCCTTACCACAGAAATCATGTCAACAGCTATGACAAATGCTGGGCATGCTGTTAGCAGGTAGGTTTCAAATTTTCTGTGGGGTCTTGTGATAAAATGAAAAGTTGACTTTGTTCTATATGTCTTAGGTTCTGTTCATAAAAGTCTGTTTATTTTCATCCTAACTTAACAAAAGATTTCTCTGATGCATTTGTGTACGGCTTCATATCCTCTACATGATTTTCATGTGAAATCTTTGTTTTCCCAGTCCCTTTTGAGGGACATTATTATTTATTTACAGGACTGGAAGATGAGAGTTAGAGAACAAAATAACCTCAATTCACAGAACTAAGAAGCAGGTAAAATAGAATTAAAAAAAAAAAAACTGATGAATTTCATGAAAGAAGGTAGACTGGTATCTTTACCACTCTGAGGTTAAAATCTGTTCTGTGGTTAAAACAGCTTTTCTACATGTGGCTTTGGATATTTTTATTTTTCCTCCCCTATCATAGCAGCTTCCTAAGAGGAAACTAGGTGGACGTTCTCTAAGCCCTCAGTCTCAGAACTTAGCAAATTACTTTACTATTCATTCTTCAGAATATTCATTTTTCTTCCTTATACCTGGCCAGTAAAGCACCCTGAGTTCTTCCTTAAGCTCATTTTTTATGCAGGCTGATATTTGCACAGACTCTTCTCTATTGTACTTCTGCTCTTGTGTCTCTTCTAGCAGTCATTCCAGGCTTATGTAAGTACTGCAGAGTCCACTCAAGTTATATACAATTCTGCTTCACATTCTGTAAAGTTAAAATGATTTGAGGTTGAAGAATAATCAATAGTGAATAATCAATCGATTATTCACTAAGCTATTAACTGAATTGTTTCATTAATATTCCTTTTCTCATAAATGTTTGATTAATGGAAGTAATCATAATAGTAGAATATGAAATAGAATGTCACAAACCCATAATGCTTACCAGGGTGCCATATGAATATCAAATAGGAAGCATAGGATAGTGGAATTTTACAACGATAATATGTCTTGACTTTATTTTTCAATTGCTATGAGGCCAATTGCCTACCAGTCATTATAAACCTTCCTTTTAACCTCCTGTGAGTCATTTTCTTTAAAAAAAAAAAAAAAGTGGTAGGTAACAGGAAAAAGTGTTAAGTAAAGTTGTGGTGTAAGATGGCTGTGTTTGTAATGCCCAGCTTAACTGAATTGTTAAATCCTAAATACAAATGGAGAATTGCTTAAAAAGCGGGGAAGGAGGTTCTGGGCTTATTTTAGCTTTTAGGGATATAAAAGAAACTGAAACAGGCAAAAAAAAATTATGTGTGCTTTAAGAGCTTATAGTAGAATAAGAGAGACAACAGATAAATGAGCTGAAAAAGGGCAACAATGGACATGCTAATGTAGACAGGCAAAAGTCCAAGAGGCCTCTACCCTACACAAAGAACTACAAGCAGCTAAGGAATGCTGAGAGTGGGAGATACAGTCTTCCCCAGGGAAGGGTATACTAATTGGTCATGCACTAATAAATGGTCATGAAACATACAACGAATATTATTTAGACTAAACAGGTCCTATATCTGTATATACAGACACACACACATATATACACATACACATAAAACGAATTAAAGAATTAAAAAAGAGGTCATGAATTTGAAAGAGAACAAGAAAGGCATATATGGGATGAGTTGGAGGGAGAAAGGAGAAGGGGAAATGATGTAATTATAATTAAAAAAAAATACATGTACATGTTATTAGCAGAGATGAACAAGAGCTGTTGGGGCTGGCCTGCATTTTTGGATTGGGTAGTAGAGAAACAATACTAACAGAATAACATCACAACCAAGAAGCAAAAGTGAAGATAGAATATTTAGTGATGGGAACCTGGGTCTGCTGGGTTCTAGGCAGAGGGGTGGGATTGCATGTGTGTGTTGCTCTAGAGTGATTCGGGGGATGGTAGGTGAGAAAGTGGACATTATGAGGGAGCCAGCTTATACATATATTACTGCTTTGAAGCAGTGGAAGGTTTTAATCAGAAAACTGATAGGTTTTTTTTGCTTCATGCTTAAAGTATCACTGTTTAGAACTGTGTTGAATGTATACAGATGGAGCAATTAGTATTATTCCTCTAAATGGACTTTTTTTACCATCTCATAAAAATATGAATGTCCCTTTGTTTAAAAAAAATTTAATGTAGCCTTGGCTGTCCTAGAACTATGTAGACCAGGCTAGCCTTGAACTCACATCTATCTCCCAAGTGTTGGGACATCAGTCTTTGCTTTATGACTCATGTTCTGAAGAGACTTGTCTAGTTTGAATATAGGCTTGGTTGACACAATTAGAATTTCAAACTCTTTCTTGTTCTAAACGCCAGAAGGAGGCTCTTTTAGATGCAAATGAAGGTACTATTTTTACAGGACAGATGTGCTTACAACTTGTAGTAAGGTATACTTCTGTTAGTGTCCTGCTGGAAGTGTGAACTGCTCTAAACAGAATGTAGACAACCATATGCAAAGATGTCTCCCAAGTAGCAGAGCTGGTCCTGCTGTCTAGTCTTCAGTTTCATTATTTGCAGATGCCATGAATGTTCAGGGTGTGACTGGGAATGTAATTTTGTAGCATCATCTTTATCATCTTACATTCTCATCAGAATCTGTGATGTTTCAATTATTTAAATTATTACCATGTGCTCTTTTCTTAGTTCAAAAGAAATAGAAGATTTTCAGTTAACTGAGTCATTTGGCAGCCAACAGATGAATCTCAGTGTTGGTGAGGACAGCACGGGTAGCTGGTCCAACTTAAGTTTTGAGGATGACCATCAAGATGAAAGCAGCAGTTTTCATCATCTCAGTGAAAGGTAACAATGATTTTACAGTTAATTGTGTGATAAAGGTCTTTAGACTTGAGTGAACAACGGCTTTATGTGATTATTAGAAAAGTCTGAATTTGGAAATCTGTTTATATTTCCAGCATTATTTTATTGTTCACAGTGCATCTTTTTTGTTGTTTTTACTTTAATTCTTTTTGAGGGGTATAGCCCAGGCTGATCTTGAGGTTAAGTTTCTCTTTCAGGCTTCTGGGGGCTGGATTATAGGCTTGTGGGTTGTATTGCCATGCTTGGCTTCTGAATGGTTTAGACATATACTAAATACAGTAGGGAGCAGAGCTAATGTTCTTTGGGTTTGCTGAAAGCTGACTTGAGAAAATATTATAATACTGTATTTTATTTAAATTTTAAGCTTTTCTGGATGTTATATGAGTATAATTTATCACTTTAAAGGGCATACTTTTTTCATTAGTGAGAAAAAAAAGTCAGGTATCTAAAAAAAGGTATCATGATAGTCCTATAGTTTTCTTGATACAAGCTAAAATAAGTAGTATCTTTAGGGACGGGAAGAGAGGGTCCTTAGACTTCTGTTAGTAACAAAATAGTGAGCATTTATGTAGCTTCTTAGATTGAAGATACATTGAATTTGTGATAAAATAGAGTTTTGTATACCTGAAGACATTTACTTTGCATGTGAATTTTCTTAGTTAACATTGTTCATAACAGTGAACTTTGAAATATTTTATTGTGATTGTTTCTTACATTCTCACCTCTGCCTAAAGGCATTCCTGGCTAGCTCATGAATTCCTGTAAACTATTTGTCCATATTAACTGATAATTGGAATAATAAGTAACAGTCCACAGTTGGAGCGGAGGGAAGGAGAAGTTCTCAGAATACTTCTACCAGGAGGTATGCATGGAAAGGACCGTGTGTGGTTCCTGCTGACCTAAATGCTTGAAATATGCTTGCTAAGAGAGGGAAGGAAGAGTGGGAAGTTGGAGGAGAGGGGGAGGTGGCATAAGGAAGCAGATACCCTCTGAGCAGTTAGAGCACATCACCCTAGCCTAAGGCTTAGAGGGTTTGTTCTGTACTTGGACACATCTCCCCCCCTCCCTTTTTGTGGTTAAAATCTGTGTTTCTTATTCAATTGGGATGCAAAAATAATAGTCTTAAAATGGGTACAGTAGAACATGGTCACAAATCATGATTTTCCCTATCTGGAATACTATATTAACATGTTAAGTTTTTTCTCATAAGAAAAAGACACTTCTAAGATCTCGGCAAAGGTGGCATTGCTGCCTAGAACAGTTAAACTGGGGAAAAAGCCAGTGGTCTTAAGAGGATTTGTAGAAAGCTGAGTAACCAGAGAGGGTTAACTGATTTGTTGTGGGGGGGGGCATTTTACTGGGCTGTAGCCTTCATTCTGCCTGTAGCAGTAGTTTATTGGTGTGACTCAGAGAGAAGGCTGAAATGACATCCCCATAAACAGAAGGCTGAGACCAGAATAATTATACCTCATAGGAACAAATGCATTTAGGGTTAAGAAATTAATTCTGTGAACCCAGGTAGCACATCTGGCTTGAGAGGGTTTAGTCAGAAAAGGTCTGTTCCTCACTTGTCACTTGTCAGAGTGAGCTAGTGCTCCTGCAGTGGTTTTAAGGTGTGGGCACGAAGCAGCTCTTGGGACTCATGCAGGGTTGATAGTGTGCTTGCTGAACACAGGTTTCCAGAACCTCACCTCCAGGGATTGACTCATCAGGCCTGCCAGGGTACCCGAGAAACCTCTTAGTGACTGTACTGCGAGTGTTTGGACACACATGAGAGAGGTAGCTTTACAAGTTACTTCCTTTGGTGACTTTTGCTTTGGGTACTGGTCTTTCAGGCGCAGAGATCAGGTGAGCAATAAGCACCTTGAACTTTCATTTTAAATTGGAAGTTTAGTAAAGAGTATCATTTTTAAAAATTAGATTTAAAAAGGGTTTAGGAGATATGTATAATTGATCACAAAGAGAGCTGCCCTGTGCATGCGAATTTCTTAAATATTTTAAATAGTTTGTGACATTTTGAAGTGAATGTATTAGAGGCAAGTGTGATGTTTTATGTCTGTAATCATCTGGAGGCTGAAGCAGTGCTGTAAGTTCAAGGCTAGCTTGGGCAATTTAGCAAGACCCTGTCTCAACAAACAAACAAATAACTATCCCCCAAACCCCCAAAAATTTAGAGTTGAAAAGTTATAGCTCATGGTAGAGTACTTGCCTGCATGGCTTAGATTCACTTCCCAGCATATCACATGTATAAATTTATATGTACATAAGAGAGGAGGCCAGACTTTGACAGCTCTTGAGATACTTTTTTTTAAAATCAGAATATATAGTAGTCTGGGTAGGAATCAAAGCCACAAAAAAGAATCTCAGCATTTAATTAGCACTGCCTTCAGGGTACACCTGCCGTAGGAATAGACTATGAGAAGACGCAAGTGGAGGTGGCACAGTAGTTTAGGAATGGAAAAGGAAACCTGTTAAGTAAAGAAAATAGGCTTTATGTTGGCTCAAGATAGGCTGATCATCCTTTGCAGTTTACTTGTGTGTTCTGGTATAATCACTAAACAGTAACTCCTTCCATTTTGAGAGTGAGCTGCTTAGGGGAAGCAGTCTTAGAGGCAGCTAAAACACTTAGAGGTAGGTGGTATTCTGTAAGTGACTGTATCCAATCCGAACCACCTTGAAAAGCAGGAGCAAGATGAGGTTAGAAAGATTTTTCCATTTTATTCTTTATGTTACTTAGATGTTACTTCTCGAATTCATCTAAAGTTTAAATACTGGATTTTTATTACTAATGAGATTGAAAAGTTATTGTTAATAGAATATGCGTAAGGATTTTAATTGTGTCTTTCTTTAGAAAATCATTTTCTTAATGTAGATAAGATTTGAAGTCACTAATTCTCTCTTTTTGTTTATAGTTCTCTATTTGTTGTGTGCTACTGTATTTTCTGTGTTTTAGTTTGTCTAAAGACAGACTGATGGTAAAACTCTGGATTTCTTTTTGATTTTATAATAAAACTATATTTGTTTGAAAAGATGGCTTAGTTTTACTTTAATGCATTGTAATTTCTGAAGCTTGATACTGTTAAAGTGAAAATGGATAAGTAATTTATTTGGGAATGTTTAGAAACTACCTAGAACTTTAGATAATTGTGACTTTGGTTACCTTGACCACACTTACTGATTCGCAAAAAATGAGTTCATGTTGAAGAACCAAAATTTAGGTTTGTATAGATGATAAATTATAATTGACTAGCTGATAATGGGAAGTAAAGCTGCTTATCCCTGCAAACTAATGTGCTTACTAATTATTTTAATAATTAGGAATGATTAGAATTTTTAAGTTGCATGTTGAAAATTTTAATCTGCAAAGTAGCTTATTTTGTTTTTAAGTACGGTTGCCCCCCCCCCCCCACAGTGCTTTGCTGCAGCTGTAGAACACTCGCACTCTTCTTTTGGCTAGGCAATGTAGGAAGTTGGGGCTGTGTGGGGCTTCGGTGACTAGCCAGCCAGACAGAGGTGTTGCTTATGGAAGCCTTGCTTAGTCTAGCTTTCTTCCAAAGAGAACATGTGCTATTTGCCACCTGCTTACTATGTGTAAGGTAAGAAATAAAGAAAATTGGAATAGTGATGTAATGAGCTCAGAAGGCAGGCTCTGTTGGAGACAGTTTGCCCGACACATTATCATTATTTTGTACTGTTCAGGAATCTCAGAAGACCTCAACTTTGGTCTTTCTTCTTTTTTAAATATTATCCAAACCAAGGAGTAGGAAAGTGTATTGCCTTTCTTGTTCTTGTTAGATATAAATTACATGTTAAGGTTTGCTGTGAGATATTAACTTTATCATGCAGTCATTTTCCATCCCGAAAGTTCTGTTGTCTTAATCTGAAAAATAAACATAAGGTTATAATGATGCCATGATATTTTGAGGACAATGAAAAGACTCCCTCGTCTCCAGCCCCGCCCATTCTCCTTCATGGAATAGCAGTGACAGTCTCGTGTCCCCTCTGGATGCTCCACTCCACTGTGGCAGCTTAGGACTGAAGCTGTCCCAAGGAAGCACAGGTGCTCTTCACTATGCATTTGCTAGTTCAGCTCTGTTCTTTTCTCCCTCCAGCAGTAATGGTAACAGCAGTAGCTGGAGCAGTCTTGGTTTAGAAGGAGATTTGTATGAGGACAATTTATCCTTTCCAACATCAGACAGGTTGGTCCAGTTTAGACACTTAAAAACTCATGAGTCTTTCACCACTAATGCATGATGTCATTATTCTTAAGAGAGCCAATATATATCAACCTGCTTTTCTCCTGAATTTTGACATGATTCTGCTGGATACGTTTACATCTAATGAAAATTTCAGCTAGCTAAAATATCACTGACATCTAATTGCAACATGTGTGACTGTTTGCATGGGTTGCTTTGCTTGCTATTTTTCATTCTACCAATGATTTCATTAAAAAGAGCTTGCTTCCTACAGGATTTCTGTTGGTTTGGTTTGGTTTTGTTTGTCGATATAGTTTAATTTCATATATAATAAAAGTATAGGAAAATTGTTTTAAAACATTAAATGACATTAGTAGAAACAGTAGTACTTCATTTTTATGACATTGTATGATATTCAGATAGCATATTACTTAAAACCAAATAACATTTCACCTTAATTTGGAGTTGCTTGGCTATAAGTGTCATGCTAAGGTAGGGCTTCTGTAGGTATCATGTGCACTTCAGATTTTAACATGAAATAATGTGAGAAGCAAAGCTTCCTTTTGATTGCCATTTTCTCCTTTCTAAATTTCATATGTCATATTGTAACTTTTCATTCCTGCTACTTTTCTGAGACGTGGTTTTAATCCATTACTAATTAAACTTTTTTTTTTTAAACTACTTCTGTTGTTTTCTTTGAAAAGTGATGGAGCAGATGATAGAGATATCGGACAGGAGGATGGTGTGGAAGGTTAGTCACAGCTTGCTTCTCTAAGCCTTTGTTTTTGTGTGTTCTGTGGTCTGCTGTTTATGCCTCTTTTACAGATAAGCTTTGCAATATTGATGTGAAGCATCACAAGTTGCCCTGTCTCAGAAACAAACCATTTGAGGAAGAAGCTTAGGGGGCATTTTTCTTTTCACAATTTATGCCTAAAATCCTCTCATGTTACAAAATTAATTTATTGTAATTACAGCATATCATTTTTTTTTTTTTTTTTTTTTTTTTTTTTTTACTCTGTGTTAGTTACTTTTTTGTGGCTGTGACAGAATTCTTGAAAAAAGGGAAGGAATTTCATGCAGGGAGGGCATGACAGTGGGAACTTTTGGCTGGAGGAAGGACAGGCAAGAAACCAACAGGAGCAGATGGGCTGCAGTCCTCCAAGGCCCATCCCTAGTGACCTACCTCTCTCAGACCCCAAGTAGTAATGTTTTCACAGTGACCCAAAACAGTGCTGCTTAGCTGGGGATCAGGGTTCACTTAAACTGTAAACCTCCTATTTTCCTTCAAATTAGTGACTTGAAGATTTGATACTGTTGTCAAGCTTACATGAGACAAAAAGCGAACATGGAAAGGCACTTTAAATACCCCACTTCCCTCTTCCACTTCTAAGTCTGTGCTCACACATGTACATGTTTAAAGGCAATAGCCTTCCTTCAGGGAACAGAGTTCTTACTATGTCAGCACTAGATATCTTTGGATGCAGAGTTTTGAACATAGTTTGTGATCATAATTCATGTATTAGATATCCAAGTGAGCCTAGTGACTTCATTCAGGTCAAACCCAAGTTTTTGTTGTATTCAGATAGGTTTAGAATGTCCTCTTCAGATCTTACTTTTTTTTAAAGTATGAAGTGATAATACTTTCTATAAAACAGCACATTTAAATTAAAAATACTGTTTAGTTATTTTTGAACTAGTGAAATTTTGTTGTTTCTTTTGAAGTAGGAAACCTGAGGGCTAGAGATGGCCTGGTGTGTTCTCTGTTGGGAGTTCAACCCTCTACCTTCATGCCAAAGTCGCAGGCACTGAGAAAATGTTGAAGAGAATTTCGTCAGATATAGGGTATAACTGCTGAATTTTCAGCCAGTATATCCATAGTATTCTTCTTCTGGGAAGTTACAATCAGCTCTTAAGTTAAAACTCTCAGAGTTAAGATTATTGCTATTTAAAAATTTTTAAATTGGTGCTGTATGTGCAGGTGTGTGCATAGTTGTCAACACATGAATGCCGCTAGTCATGTATCTCACATGGAGTCAGTTTTCTCCTTCTACCATGTGGGCCCTGAGATTTGAACTCAGGTTTTTCAAACCTGGCAGCAGTGCATTTGCCAGATGAGCCATTCCACTAACCCAGATTATTCTTTATATTTTTAAAGATTTATTTTTATTTTATGCAAATAGATACTTTGCTTACATCTGTCTGTGCAGTACCCAAGAAGGCCAGAAGAGGGCATCAGATTCTCCTGGAACTGGATTTACAGCAGGTTAAGAGGTGCCATGTGGGTGCTGGGTGTCGAATCTAGCTCCTCTGCCAGAAGAGCCAGTACTCTTAACTACTAAATCATTTTTCCAGTCCTTACAGTAGATTTTAGAGTTAGTGATAGTCTAGGTAGTTTTCTTTATTTTTGTTCATTAATGTTTTGGCCTTTGAAAGTCGTAACTTCTCCCTAATAACACTCAGGAATCTAATTATTCCCAAGGCTATCCATGTATTATTGCTTACCTAACTCTGCTGAGGAGTGATTAGGAGAAGGAATACAGTTAATATAATAGAATAATTCATGGAAAGAGTTTATGAGTAGGCCCCTGAGATTTTTTTTTTCTGTTAATAATGTAGAAATCAGGAGGTCAGTTATATGCAAATTCATCATTCCTCAGCTCTTGGGATGATAGGCATCTTACACATATCAAGTTAGAGCAAACTTTGAAATTTGTTCCATTAGAAGGTAGATTGGTTTATAGTTACAAAAAGCCTCAATATTAGAGAATTCCTATAACAAATATCTGCTTTTAAAACTATCCTTCGTTCCTTTTTATTTATTTATATTTTGTTTAGGTGGTATCAGAAGTTTCCCATCAGGCCAAGCAAACTGCAGGATCTAACCAAGGAAATCCTAGCAATGTAGAGAAGCACTAACTGACCTAGCGTCCAGCCCCAGGCACAATGACCTAGCATCCAGCCCCAGGCACAATGCAGCCTTTACTAAGGGCATCAGATACTGTCTTGTTCTATAGTATATCAGACCTCCTTTAAAACAAACAAACATATACAAACCATTTACCAAGGTAAAATTTTATGTTTAGCATACAAAGTGATTGATGGATTTCATGTGTTGTTTTCTGAATATATATCATTATACATTCCTCTTGCTTATCTCCATCTCCACTGCCCCTCATCCCCCAGGCTTCCCTCTTTCTCCTAACATGATAGTCTTTCCTTCTGCTCATGTAACATGACTGAAATTAGCCTAGCTCTCCACCCCCAACCCCCATAACATTTTTTTTTCTTTCCTCTCAGGGGTCTTCCTTGTACTTTCATGACCCGCACAAACACACATGTGTATATGTGTATATACATATGTAAATGTAGATTCTGTGTATAAAAGAGAACATACCCAGACCTACTTTTGACTGAGACTTATTGTCACAAAGGGAGAGAAAAGATGAATTTTTGAGAATAACATGGATCAGAATTTTTACCCTAAAAATAGAGGGCTAACACAAATTCTAAAAAATGATTAATGGTGGTCTAGAGTACCTTATATATTATACTAGAAAAATATCCCTCAACAATTAAGAATCTACCAACATTTCCATTATTAGTACATCCTGGCTTGAGGACTGTCAGTATGCCTGTTGTAGAAATCAAATCAAGGTTGGATTTAATATTTACTATTGATACATTTTTTAGTTAAACAGTGGTTATTCTAAACAGCTGTATAACCAAATCACCACACAGAGACTAGGATTTATTTAATTAACCTAGAGCACAATGCTGGGCAATAGTTACTCCATCCTAAACTTCCAAGTCCACATAGTTTCCTACCATTCAGACTCACCCATTGTACTTGCATTTAGTGATATCTTAAGTCCGGTTCATTTCTCCACATGATTCCAAGACCTGCCTTCCAGATTCTTCTCCTCCCTCTTCTCCTTCCTTCCTTTTCCTCCCACTCTGGACCAGGATGTCCCACCCTGTCCTCTCCATTGCTCGGCATTGTTGTTGGTTGTTTTAATTGACAGTGTAGAGAACAAATGGTGGCATGTTTACACAAACTTGAGACAGGTGATGCTTAGAATAAGCATCATAATGCAATATCTGGATTGAAACCAGATAGTGGGGGAGAGAAATCAGCATTTGAATGAACAAGGGTCAATTGTATACATTCCAAAAGAACATAATACCCACACATGCCCTAGATATGTCTTGTACTCAGTCATCCCTAAGTGGGAGTACTGGCTAACAGGACATTGGTTCTGTCTTCCAGGTAGGATATCTCCTTTGTATTGAAACATCATTCTCGTTAACAAGAAAGTAAAACTTGAGAGAAGTGCCAATTTACTCCAAACAGTATTTTACATTGTGCCATCAGTAAATGGTCAAAGTTATTTCTTTGTTTTAGCATTATTTCATCCTTAAGAAATGCTTTATTTAACATTATAATATAGTTAAGTAAAGCATTTACTGGATGCTTAAATTGAAATCAGAGTTTTGAAAATTGATTTGATGAATTTCACCTTATATTGTTTAAATTGACTACTAGATCTGCAGCAAAATGGAAAGACTCTGCTAATTATGAACATTGACATGGAGCCAGGAGCAGTAGATCCTCAGCTAAGGATTATTCTTCAGTGGCTCATTGCCTCCGAGGCTGAAGTGGCAGAACTTTATTTCCATGACTCTCCAAAGAAGGAGTTTATATTAGTAAGTACCTCCCGTCTAGAGTGGCTGTGAGGAAACATTAACACTGTTGTGATAATCTGTACCACTTTGTTGGTTTAGCAAAATGCTTGTTTATTGCAGAATATTAGTACATCGCCATGGAGTCTCACAGTTGGGTTCAGGGGTCAGCTCTGCCACTTTCTAGTAGGTATGACCTTGGGCAGATGAGTCAGTGAAGGTCTCAGTTTCCTTAGTTGCATGTGGGATTAGCAGCTTATTGACTTACCTTGCAGGTTTGTGAGGATTAATGATAATATTATAAAAAGCAGGTAATTGATCTAATACCCTAACCTTAGAAGTTAGATGTCAGTAATAATCAGCTAATGAATTCTTAAAGATCCAGCTATTTTATTTCCCAGATTCATAATTGTACCTAATTGATTAGATCTTTCTCAGTCTTCATGCAGATGGAAGGTGGGTATTATGAAAAACAATATTAGGTTAGATAAGATACTTTTCTTAGGCAAGGTGGGTAATAGCAAATGTAGAAGGACTTGGGGACACTGCATCCTTCATACAGTTAGTGAGACTCTAAGGCGGTGAAGCTGCGGTGGGAAAACTGTCTGACAGTTTCCCAAAATGCTGAGTGCAATATTAACATGTTACCCAGTATTGCACTGCTCAGTGTGCACTTGAGGGACATGAAATTGTGTGTACCCAAAACCTGTGCAGAAATGTCCATGGCAACATTATTCATGGAAGACATGACCTAGGAATGTTAGCCTTGGTGGTACAGGCCTATCATTCTAGCACACTGGAAGCAGAAGCAGGAGAATTACTATGTTTGAGTACATGTAGTCTCATTGATGAGTTCTGAGAGAGTCAGGAACTCTTATACATACATACATACATACATACATACATACATACATACATACATACATAC